ATAAATTCCTTTAACCTTTTGTTTGTCTGCCAAGCTGTTTATTTCATCTTCAGTTTTGAATGATAGCCTTGCTGAATATAGTATTCTTGGATTCAGTCCCTTATTTTTAATTACTTTGAATAGTTCATGCCACTTCCTTCTGACCTGAGGTGTTTCTATTGAAAAATCAGCTGGTAGTCTAATGGGAGCTCACTTGTAGGTAACTTTCTGTCTCTCTCTGACTGCTTTTAAGAGTCTTTCTTTATCTTTAATGTTTACCATTTTAATTATGATGTGTCTAGGCGTGGGTCTTTTGGGGTTCATTTTGATTGGGACTCTGTGCTTCCTGAACGAGACTTTTTCCTTCACCAGGTTAGAAAAGTTTTCTTCATTATTTCTTCAAACCCTCCCTCTAATCCTTGCTTAGATTCTTCTCCTTCTATAACCCCTATGATGTGGATGTTATATTTCAGGTTGTCCCAAAGCTGTCTCAAACTGTTGTCCTGCTTAAAATTTTTTTTTCCTAATTGCTGCTCTGATTGGGTGTTTTTTCTACCTTGTCTTCTAATTCACTGATTTGATTTCAGCTTCTTCTAATCTACCATTGATTACTTCTAGTGTATTCTTTATTTCAGCTATATCATTCTTCATTTCCAGTTGATTCTTCTTTAGGCTTATGAAGTTCTCATTAAGTTGCATGAGCATCCCTATAACCTTTATTTTGAACTCTATATCTGCTTGCCTCCATTTCATCTAGTCCCTTTTCTGGGGATTCCTCCTTTTCTTTAATTTGGATGTTGTTTCTTTGTCTCCCCATTTTATTGTGTCAGTTGTCTGGGGATACCATGTCAAAGCTACTGGGCATGAACAGGGCATCATTGCTGGTAGTCCAGGGGCACCGTGTCAGGCAGCCAGGTTGTGATGGCATGCCTGTGTGCATGGTAGGTGTTGGGTCATGATGGCAGGGCCAGGTACACTATGTCAAGGCTGTAGGCCGGGGGTTCGCAGGCTGGCCATACTGTGTCAAGGAGTCAGAAAGGCAGGCAGGCAGGCCTGGCAGGTAGTGTCGAGGAGGCAAGGCAGGCAGGCAGGCAGGCAGGCAGGCAGGCAGGCAGGCAGGCAGGCAGGCAGAGAGGCCATGCGTGCCTCATCAGGCAGGCACCACTGGCAGGGAGGCAGGCAGACTGGCCATGGGTGATGCATCAGGGAGGTACTGCTGGCAGCGGCAGGCAGTTAGGGTGTATTTCTGGATCACTGAGGTGGTACATTTGTTGGAGGGAACTTATCCACATGCTTATTTTTTCTGCTGGCTAGAACAAAAAAACTGAAAGTGCTGGGTTTGTTAATAAGTATCATAGCCTATCTAGAAACCCAAGTGGATGTTAGAGGATGAGAATCGGGACTTGCTTTAAATATCATGCCCTCTTCTTGTCTTACTCAAGTATATTATTGAATTATACCTGAATATCTAAGATCCCATTCAGCATCTAAAATAGTAATTATGGAGAGAGCAAGTTACATCTCCACATGGGTTCATAATAATTATTTACATAATGACCAAGTATGCGTATGAAATATGTTTTATTCTTTCGATGTATGGGCCAAATAAAACATTGAGAATCATTTAGAAGAGACTTAATTACTAACCCAGCAGCTAAGAATATTTTGTTCAGGTAACAGACTTTAAAATTATTTTTAACATTTTATTGTTTAATGTTGATAGTGGTTTTATGGAAAATATGATGAGCAAAAATGAAAATGTCTTGCTTTTTGCTTGATAAATTCATTTTCTAAGTCTATTAAAAAACAATTAAAACATTTGTTCAGGTTAACCATCAAAATATTGTGAACATAATGAATCAGCTGAAATATTATGAATTTTTATCAAGGAAAGACACCCAGAGCTAAGCAAAGGATGAATCAAAATAATTCAGGAAAGAAGATGGTATAGTACAAAAGGACAGATAGATGAGTCCTTCTGTAAACATATTTAACATTTCAATTAAGTAATAAAAGTTAGTGTTCTGCATTCTCTCAAGGCTACAGACAACTCTTTGATTTTTGGAATATGTACATAAAATCCTGTGTTTTCACTTCTTTTTAAATTTAAATTTATCTTTATTGTTAAAAGTATCACAGACATCTCCCTTTTTCCCTACATTGATTCCCTCCTCCCCACTCCAGGCCCCTCCCCAGGACTTCACCATCTATATCCATGCTTATGCATATATGCATATAATTTCTTTGGTTGATCTTTTCCCATCTCCCCACACGCCTCAGAGAATCCTCAGACTGTTCCATGCTTCCATCTCTGGATCTATTTTGTTGGTCAGTTTTATTTGTTCATTAGATTTCCTGTATAAGTGAGATCATGTGATACTTGTCTTTCTCTGATTGGCTTATTTCACTTAGCATAATACTCTCCAGGTCAATCCATGTTGTTTCAAAGGATAAGAGGTCCTTTTTTACAGCTGCATAGTATCCCACAGTGTAAATGTCCCATATCTTCTTTACCCACTCATCTAGTGATGGGCACTTGGGCTGTGTACATGTCTTAGCTATTGCAAGCTGCACTGCAATGAATTAAGGGTGCATATATTCTTTCTGATTGCTTTTTCAGGCTTCTTAGGATATATTCCTAGACATGTGATCTGTAGGTCCAATAGCAGTTCCATAATTAATATTTTGATCAACTCCCATACTATTTTCCATAGTGACTGCCTCAGTCTGCATCCCCACCAGCAGTGCACTAGGGTTCCCTTTTCTCTACATCTTCACCAGCACTTGTTGGTTGTTGATTTATTGATGGTAGCCATTCTGGCAGGTATGGGGTGTATCTCATGGTAGTTTTAATTTACATGTCTGATGATTAGTGACTTTGAGTGTTTTTTCATGTGTCTCTTGGCCATTTGTATGTCCTCTTTGGAGAAGTGTCTATTTACTGAAATTCTTTCTTTTGGTGTTTGTTTCTTTGTCTCCCCATTTTAGCTGTTTGGTAATCCAGAGTGCCAAGTGAGGCAGGGCAGGTCATGCTTTCAGAGCTGTTGAGTCATGCTGGGTTGCAGTGGTGAGTTTGATCTGGTGGCATCAGCCAGGTCAGGCATGCCTGTTCCATGGAGGTAGTTCAGTGTGTGTGGGGCATCAGGTCATGGCTATGGGTGGTTGTCCAGTGGTGCCAGGTCAGGCACAGTGGGTTGTGGTGACAGGTCCATGCATCTGGAAGTGTTGTGTCATGATTGGGCAGGGCTGGGTGTACATTAAGGTGGTGGGCCAGTTGCCCAGGGATGCCAGGTCTGGTGTGCTGGGTCAGAGTGGCAGTTCCCTGCATCCAGGTGGGCCACATGTTATGGCTGGGCACTCTAATCTGAGCTGGGCACTTTTTATAGGGAAAGGGCAGGCAGGCTGTGCACTGTGCTGGCCATTAGGCTTGTGAAGGCAGTGGGGCCGTTCTCTGAGGCCCAAAGTTCAGGCTCACTGAGTGGCTATGTCTGACCCATATGTCTTGAGGCTTTGTGTCCCAGCAGTGGGGCCCTACATGTCTGTCTATGACCTAGAGGCACTGGGGCACAGTGGCTCCCTACAACCTCCTCCTGTGGTAGAATCTGCACATCTTCCAAAATGATGCACTCTCCAGCCTCAAGCATGAAGAAGCACCTGGTCAAGCAGCACACAGAGGCAGGCAAGCTCCTCCACCAGGAGCACCCCGAACTGCCCCCAGAGCCCCCATTCCTATGGACAAATGCCCTTCCAAACTCACACCCACACACACTCTTATCTTCACTCTGGACCTGCCCGCTATCATGTTGGTGTCCTCAGTCTGTTTTCACTTATTACCTAGCATTTTTTAACAGAGAAGCTTGTTCCAGGGGAGAAATGCTTCTTGGAACTAGCCATAAATCTAAAAATTCTTGTTTAAAGAGAGATACCACAGAAACAAGGGGAGGAAACTCAAAAACATATCCTCATCCCCTTTCCCATCTTCCCCGTTCTCAGGAGAAGTAGCATGTTTGAATTTCCCTTCAGCTCCTCCTCCCTTTACTCCCAGGAGAGAAAGCACATCCACAGCCCCTCCCCCTGATCTCTTTGCTCTGCTTTCCCTCTCCATCCTTATGAAAACCTCTGCCTGAACTGAAATGTTAAGATGGAATTTGGGGACAAGAGTCCCCTATCTTCTCAAGATGTTGGCATTTGAATAAACCTCTTTCCTTTGCACCAGCTTCTGTCTCACTAGTTTGACTTTGTTACAGCAGGCAGTCAAACCTGGTTTTGATTACACCTCTATAGCTGTATGTAGTCCAGAGAAGCAGAGCTGGTAAAAAATAACATGAACAATTCTAAATACACATACTATATACATACACACATTGTAAGAATTTCACCTAATGCAATTTTGCAAGCTTTTTAGAGGCTATTGTTTCTGTCTCTGGCGCTAAAACCTACAGGCCCCAATTCAGGCAGCTAGGATGAAAAAGAATGGTTGTTAACTGGGGCTGAAGGGCTGATCTAGAACTAATGAACTATTGTTATTTTTTTAGAGTTCTTTTCATTTGCAAATGTTTAATGTTTATAATAAGAGTATCCTGCCGGAGAATTGGGAATTATTCCTGGTTGGAGCTAAACAAATATCTGACCAGAATTGTAGAAGATTGGCAAAATTTGAAGAGCTTCAAGATTTAGCTCTTCATCAACACCTACCCTGTGACCCCAAAGATAAGCAACAATTGTGTGTATACACAGTTAACACTGCCTAGTGGCCAGTACTTTATAAACATATAAAGAGGTAGCAACTATCTTATATCCAGTTTTACAAATATTATGCAAACTGTTGTGCTAATGCTAACCCAGATATATTCAGAGAATGCAATTGTGAATTGTTCTAGCATAAATAAGTTGACACAAGACAAATTCTTCATATTTTGTTATTTATCTATATTTTAAAACATATTTTTATTTATTTTTAGAAAGAAAGGGAGAGGGAGAGAGAAGCATGGATGTGAGAAACATCAGTCGGTTGCCTCTCATATGCGTGTGACCAGGGATTGAACCTACAACCTGGGTATGTACTCTGACTGGGAATTGAACTGGTGATCTCTCTGTGCATGGGATGCTGCTGAAACAACTGAGCCATACTGGGCAGTTTTTATTTATATGAAATAACCGAGGTTGAACAGTGTGGGACAAAAACAGAAATTTGTAGTTGTATCAGAATATCTTATATCTCTGTAACATTATTTGTAAAGAATCCTCACTAAAAAATAGATCCAGAGACACAGAAGCATGGAACAGACTGATGAATCACAGAGGGAAGGTAGGGGTGGGTAGGTGGGTGGGGAGGGATTAAGCTAAGAATTTGTGTAGTCCATGGATACAGACAATAGTGTGGTGAAGGCCTGGGGGTTGGTTGGGTGTGGAGTGGAGGGGATCAATGGGGGAAAAAGGAAACATCTCTAATACTTTCAACAATAAAGATAAATGACGATGGCTGTATATTTTCCATAAAGAAGGAACTATTATTAAATGGTAGCCTAGAAGTATTAGTTTAATTAAATGATAAGCAAGTATAAAGAATAGAAAGCAATATGTGTTTTCACATGTATGATTATGTATTTGAGGGCAATAAAATTAAACTTACCCAAAATTTTAGAATATAATGAAGAGGCAGGTTACTTAATAATATTTGAAAAACAGTTTGCCTATGTAAAAATAATTAGAAAATGTGAAAGAAAAAATTAATAGCAATAAAAATAGCCTATCAAAGAATAAATAGAGGAATGGTAACTTGCAATGGGCAGAAAAGCCATTGGCTCTGGTTTTTGATCAGGATATGAAATCACATGGGAAAGACAATTTTATTGTGTGAATTATGAGTGTGATTTATCCTGATTTTTTTCAGTGTTCTTTGGTGCTACCAATAAAATGTGAAAGAAAAAAGTAATAGCAATAAAAATAGCATATCAAACAATAAAGAGATGTATGGTTTAGACCAATGGGGTGGGTTTATATCCTTGCATTACTGGAAAGATGACCAAAATAAAAATTGTAATGAGATTCCCCAGGTGTATTTGTGAACAGATCATTTATATAAAAAAGGTGAATAAAGTATATGTTTTACCATCCTCTATGCCACTTACCCATCATTACTACAACTTAAACATAGGGAATAACCCATTGCCCACTGCCCAAAATCTGAAACTGCCCAGAGAGTTAAGGATGAATATGGTTGTGTGTTTCTACATTTGTTCATGTATTATTATTATTATTATTATTATTTTTTATTTTATTGTTATTTTAATTGAATAAGAAGAGCTATGGTGTGAGATGTCATCCTAAAGAGGGAAAGATGTTGTGGAAATAAGGATTTGAGCAATCTTTAAAAACAAACTCTCAACAGAAGTGTAAAAGATATAAAGAAGAACAAAATGGAAATTTCAGATATGAAAACTACAACCAAGAGAAAATGTGTTCAACTGATTTAGCAATCGAATTTTGTCATTTTTTTTGTAAATGATGATTGTGCTAGTATTTTACAAATATCATGGTAATTTAATAGTTTTCTTTATATTGATTTTAATGAAGTTATGAAAGTAGAGGAAAAATGTAAGTATGATGTATAATCTTGAAGTGGAGAAGGCTTTATAAAAAAGGAATAATTTAGGAAAATATTGCTAAATTCTATCACACCAAAGTTTAAGTATCTATATTAAAACCCTAATCTAAACCAACCAACAAACCAAAGGGGAAGATTATATACCTATTACAAAGACGTGGTTTCTTTTTTTTATAATTGTATTTATTAGAATAGCATTGGTTGATGACATTATATAAAGTGTACAACTTTATAATCTGTATATTGTTTTGTATGCTTCTCACCTGCAACCTAGTCCCCTTCTGTCACAATATATTTGACCCCATTTACCCTGTTTATACTCTCCCCATCCTACCTCTCCTCTGATAACAACCATTCCATTGTCTATATCAATGAATCAGTTTGTTTTATAACCCACATATGAGTTTTCCACTGTATAAAGATACTTATAAATTGTTAATTAAAAGATGCTCCAGTAGAATGGTTAGAAGCAGACAATTCACACACAAAAGAAATACAAAAAGCCTTTAAATAAATATAAAAATGTATTAGGTCACTCATAATTAAAGAAATAAAAATCATATGATGATGGAAGGAGACTTCACTTGGGGTAGTAAAGACCAATACAATATACAGATGAAGAATTATAGAATTGTACACCTGAAACATAATTTTATTAACCAATTGTCACCACAATAAATTCAGTAAAAATCAAAGCAATAGGATTTACTGGTTATCTAGTAGGTTAACAAAAATTAAACTTTGGTAGCATTTATTCTTTGTCAGGAACCAGCCTGAAAGATGAACAAACCTGATTTCAAGTGGTGGGAATGAAAGAGACAAAGTTATGGGATGAGGAGGGCTGCCCTCCAATGAGGAGCAGCCCCAAATGGCTTCAACGCCTTTATTATATAGTGAGTAACAAACAATTGGTAATGAGGTGAGGGTGATACAAAGTAGTTCCTTCAAGACTGCATAAACACACTTTCAGAGTAAACACCCTGCCTCCTGCATGAACCCAGACCTTGGTAATTTCTTTATCTCAGCTCCTCATGGGGACTTGTGGGGAGGGTCTAGTCCTTGACTCCAGACCCTCACGTGGTGTGGACCATGTCCAGACACATCACTGGCTCCCAACAATTCTTGTCTAGAGGCTTGGGAAATAGACATTTTTATGTGTTGATACGGGAACATAAGTAAATACAAACTCCTTGGAGAACAATCTATTGTATCTAAGAAACTTTTTTTTAACCTTGAGATACAATAAAACAACACACAATTCATGCTTTAGGGAGTACAATTAATTGATTTTGGTATCTGTGCAACACTGTACAACTATAACCTCTGTTTAATTCCAGAACATTTTCATGTTCTTGTAAAGAAACCACAGGTACATTGTCAGAGACTCTGTATACACCTACCTTCCCCCGCCCCTGGAAACCATTAATCTGCTTTCTGTTGACATAGATTTATCTAGTCTGTATATTTAATGTAAATAGAACCTTTCAATTGTGTAGCCTTTTGTGTCTAGATTTTTTTCATTTAGTATAATGAGGTTCATCCACATTGTAGTATGTGTCAGTACTTCATTATTTTATGTGACTGAATATTGTATTGTATGGCTATTGCAAATCTGATTTATATGTTTATGAGTTGATAGTCATTTGGGTTGTTCCTACCATTTTGCTATTGTGAATAGTGCTGCTATGAACATTTGCATATATATATTTGTTTAAACATCTGTTTTCAGTACTTCTGCTCCTGGTTCTTATGGATCATATACTTTAATACACACAAAGTTTTGACCTCTTTCATTCTAGTTCTAGATAATTTTCATGTTCTGACAGCTATCTAATCATTAAGAAGTATATCAATTAAAACAGAAGTATTAATTGTCCCTTTTTTTTTTGTAAAAATTAGAAAGTGGTAAATAATTCATAATATAGAACTTTGGAAATAGGTTCATATATTAATACACTATATTATTTTGTAACAGATAAAAGTGGGACAGATATAAATGTAGAGGTATGAAAAGTGTCCAAAATATGTAAGTAGGAAAGCAACTAATGGAATCTAACAATTTGCTATTTATAACCCATGGTAAATGGTAAGTGGTATTGCTTTTTTAGTTTCTCTCTAGTAGTTCATTGATGGAGTCTTTAGGGTTTTCTATGTACAATATCATGTCATCTGCAAATAATGACAGTTTTACTTCCTCCTTTCCAATTTGGAAGCCTTTTATGTTTTCTTCCTGTCTGATGGTGTGGCGAGGACTTCCAATAGTATGTTGAATAAGAGTGGTGAAAGTGGACATCCCTGTCTTGTTCCTGTTTTTAAGGAAAATCGTTTTAGTTTTTGACCATTGAGTATGATGTTGGCTGTAGGTTAGTCATATATGACCTTTATTATGTTGAGCTATGATCCCTCCATTCCCACTTCACTGAGTTTTTATAAAAAATGGATGTTGGATTTTATTGAATGCTTTTCCTGCATCTATTGATATGATAATGTGATTTTTTCTTTCAATTTTTTAATGTGATGTGTCAACTTTATTGATTTGCAAATATTGTACCAGCCTTGCATTCCTGGAATCCCACTTGGTCATGGTGTATGATATTTTTAATATATTTCTGGGCCTGATTTGCTAATATTTTATTGAGGATTTTAGTATCTGTGTAAATCAGGGATATTGGGCTGTAATTCTCTGTCTTTGTAGTGCCTTTATCTGGTTTTGGAATTAGGCTAATGCTGCCTTATAAAGAGAGTTTGGAAGTGTTCCTTCCTCTTTGATTTTTTGAAATAGTTTGAGGAGGGTAGGTGTTAATTCTTTTTTGAGTGTTTGGTAAAACTCCCCTCTAAAGCCTTTCAGGCCGGGGCTTTTGTGTGCTGGGAGTCATTTGATTACCGCTTCAACTTCATCAGCAGTTATTGGCCTTTTCAGGTTATCTGACTCTTCCGGATTGAGTTTTGGAAGGTTGTATTTTTCTATGAATTTGTCCATTTCATCCAGGTTGTCCAACTTGTTGGCATATAGTTGTTTATAGTATTTTCTTATAATCCTTTGTATTTCTGTTGGGTCAATTGTTATTTCACCTCTTTTTTTTCTGATTTTGTTTATTTGGGTCCTCTCTCTTTGTTTCTTGATGAGTCTGGCTAAAGGTTCATCAATCTTGTTTATCTTTTCAAAGAACCAGCTCTTGGTTTCATTGATCTTTTGTATTGTTCATTGATCTTTTATATATATATTTTTAGTCTCTTTGCCTTTTACTTCTGCTCTGATGTTTATTATTTTCTTTTATCTACTATGGGCTTTCCTTGCTTTTCTCTTTCTAAGATTTTAAGTTTTAGGCTTAGAGAGTCTCTTAGAAGTTTTTCTTGTTTTCTGAGGCAGGCTTGTAGTGCTATGAATTCCCTCTCAGAACTGCTTTCATTGTTCCCCAAGGTTTGAATTTGTTGTGCTTTCATTTGCT